GAGAACTTTCCTAAATCCAAACATTTGCGCTACTACTTACCGGAAACCGTAAATTAACATTGTCAGGGTGCTTGAGCAGCACAGGATTTGGCCACTTCCAACGGGAGAAGACCAAAAAGAATTTATGCACCAGTGTTGAGGCTGTAGCATTTGGATAAAGCTGGCAGGTGCGCGCCACCAACATAGCCCACGTCACACCACCAAAGTATCCCAACGAATTTGAGTAAATGCCATGTTCTATATTTGCAAATAAAAATTTTTCAGCATATACATTCAAACACAAAAACAAAAATTCAATTCATACTCACTTTTCGCCCACAACTTGATGGAACGTAACGCCAAGCGGAAATTCTCTATGTTTGGCACGAGCGCCAGAATTTCATCCGTCACTCGACAGCCGTTCAAACTGCGCACCGAACGTGGATCTAAATTTTTCAGCAAATTATCATCGCGTAAATCAAAATCGTCCGGTATCTCTTTGAGCGAGAGACGCGCAAATAACAAATCAATTTCAATGCCATCAAAATTCATCTTTATAACCGGCACAAAAGCCTCTTCCACCGAACGACACTCCGTCACTTCGGATTGTTTCTTTAATAAGTCAAAGAATGAAGTAAAATAATCCGTACGTTCGATATTGCGCGGCGCCACACAGAGCGCATCAATATCGGCACCCTTATGATGTACACCCAGGCGATATGAACCGAAAGTGTAAATTTTGCCACCTAATTTCTCGGCAGCGGCCTCGGGCATATTTTTGGACATTGACACATCTTTAACCCATTGTTTGACCAACGTATTGAGTTTGGCTAAAATTTCCATACGATGATTAAGCTCATCTTGAGTTTCGAACACTTTAAACGGTTCTAAAGCTTTACGTAGTTCTTCGGTCTTCTGTAAATCTTCACTACGTGGCTCTGCCAAGCTGATTGCAGATGTCATACCCAGCTGCTTAACTGGYTGCTGTTGCTGTAGTTGCTGATGATGTGGCGAACCATTTCGGCCATTTCCGTTGGTGGAATTGTAACCGCCATAACTGGGCGATCCAGTGGATGAATTGCTGACACCGTTCTGTGAACGTGTATCGGAGTTCCACATTTTGGAACTGTATAAACTGTAAGAAAAGTCATATATTTTAATYTTGATTTTTTAATCATATCCAATAATATTTAAAGAAAAAAACTTCCCACTTACCTGATATTAGTTAATAAGACTTATTGAAATTTTTGCTTTTTAATGACCTTTTTTTGTTTAGGTCGTTGTTTGTTACTAAATTTTATATTGTATTCTCGTTTAAATGGCAGTTAATTTTTTCTTTTTGTGGTACTTATTTTACCAATTTTTTTAAATACAAGCTATCTTTAGATTATGAGCAGTTTATGTACTTTGGCGAAATGATACGAGTATTAATCATAGGCGTCGAGGGTGCTGCAAGAATAGAAAATACTAAAATATTATATGAAGATAATTTATTTATCTAAATTAAGATAAAAAAAGAAAAATGCCCAAAACAATACCCATCACAGATAAATGTTTTTCCAAAGAAACACGATTGRAATCGTTAAGTTCATTGCTAAATTTATTATGGATTTTTTAAACTAATTAAGGCAGTGAAAAGATAATTCTGCCGCTACAACTGCAACATAATTTACATACCATTTAGTGAATATGAATGGTCAAATCAAAACACTTGATATGCTATCATTCCAAACATTAACTTTTACTCCAATATCAGAAAAACCCCATAAAATATCATGGCCAGGATGCGCGACAAATACATAATAACACATAATTATCAGAATCAGTTGAGAGGCTTTGTGACGCAGAACACAAGCAGAAAAACGTCGCAGCATTGAAAACAAAGCATAGAAAGCATTATAGTACCAACAAAAAAAAAAACACAAACTAAAGATTTTGCGATAAATGCCACGAGCACAAATAAACCACAAAGTGCTATAATGTACATAAAAAACACACACGCCAAAAGCGCTTATTCATTTTTATTGGGAGAAGTGTGGAGCAGAGCAAAAAAAAAAAGGTGTTTTGGTCAAGTTTTG